GGGGGACTTGAAGAATTAGGGGTGTAGTTCACTGGTAAAGCACTTGCCTAGCATGTGCTAGGCCCTGAATTCAATCCCCAGTACCACAAAAGAAAAACAAAAAAAAAATTGACCATATAAATGAGGTTTATTTCTAGGCATTCTATTCTATTCTATTCTTTTTTTAAGGAGAAGGAAGAATTTATTGAGATAAAGAAAAGCTTCTGTCTAGGAGGAATAGAATGGGGCTCAGAAAGTGGGTTGCCTCCATTCTATTTTAATTCTAATTCTAATTCTATCTGCCTATATTCTATCCTTATGACAATACCATAGTGTTTCAATTACTGTAGCTTTGCGGTACATTTTGATGTTGGGAAGTGTGAGCCTTCCAATTTTATTCTTTTCAAGATTGTTTTACTATTCGGGGTAATTCTGTATGAATTTGAGGCTTGGCCTTTTCCCTTTATGTAAAAAAGACTATTGGACTTTAGATAGGGCTTACGTTGAATCTGTAGTTCTATTTAGTGTAGTAGTGACGTTTTTACGGAAAGGTAAAAACTGAGTTACATCCCCAGCCCCTTTTATTCTTTATTTTGAGCTAGGTTGCCCAGGCAGTACCTGAATTTATGATCCTACTGCCTCAGCCTCCCAAAGTGATGGGAATATAGATATTCATCACCATGCCCAGCTTTGATAACTTGACAATGCTATCTTTAACCAGGGATGGTGCAGTCCTGTTATCCTACCACTCAGAAGGTTGAGCTAGGATTACTGTGAGTTCAAGGTCAGCTTGGATTACATAGGCAGACCTTGTCTCAAAAAAAATTAAATAAAATTTTCAAAATGCAATGTTATCTTTGAACAGAGGATGTCTTTCCATTGATTTAGGTCTTCTTTAATTTCAGCAATATTTTGCAGTTTTCAGCATATAAGTCTTTAACCTTCCTTGGTTAGATTTATTCCTAAGTATTTAATTCTTTCAGGGGCTGTTTTAAGTGGCATTGCTATCTTAATTTCCTTTTTAGATCTTCTAGGGGCTGGGAATATAGCTCAGAGGTACCGCACCTGCCTGGCAAGCACGAGGTCCCAAGTTTGATTCCTGCTACCAAAAAAAAAAAAAAGAAAAAGAAAAAAAAGATTCTTCATTGATGATGTATAGGAACACAAGTGATAATTTCCTTATTTTTGGAAAGGAAGAAATGGAAGTTTAACCTACGTTGCTCAATGATGCTTGGCTAGTATGGCCTAACTCAGTCTCTTAACTCCAAATCTACCGTGCTGCCTCTCTATGGTTGCTTATTTGGTCCCTTTCCCATTTTCTTTTTCCCTTTGACCCAACACTCTTAGTTGCAAGACAAGAAATACCTAAAAAGGAAGGCACTACAGCATTGCCACAATTATGCTCTAGATTCTGGCCAGTGTGGCATCTGAACCATTAGAAGGCACCAGAGTCTCAAGGATACTCATGGAGCTCCCATAGACACTTCCATGTCAGTCCTCTTGGAGTGGAGGGCCCAAGGCAAATAAAAAGAGGCAACAGTGAGTATGTGATCTCAAAACGCCAAGGTGTTTGATGAGAATGACTCAGAAATCAAGAAGTTACTTGTAGCAAATCAAGTACAGTAATGCCTTGTCAACATAGGACGCATTTTCACGGTCCTGACAAAGGACTATGTTATGACATGTAGACAGGGTTAGGATTCTTCAGGAACTGTGCAGGGGGTGGCTCAGGCTCAGGAAAGGAGCATTTGTAACTTGCCACCAGTGTGGAGACCAGAGCCTTGTCGAGTCACACTGAGAAATCTCTGACAGATGTTGACAGGGACCACCAGGAAAGTCTCTCCGCTTTAGTTCCACTGACTGCTCTCCTCCCAAACCTGCCGTCAGACAGGATTCTTACACTGCTCTCTACTTCCTTCTGTGTCTAGGAAGTAGCACGTTTGTGTTTCTTCTTCTGAGGAGAATCTGGGCTGGTAACTGTGGATGACACTAAGAAATTTCTCAGACTGCCTTCCTGCAGGCCTCTGCTAGGCCAGTGGAATTCCCAAAACAAGAATGTGAAAGGCTGGGGGCTGGGGATTTAGCTCAGCGGCAAAGCGCCTGCCTGGCAAGCGGAAGATCGTGAGTTCGGTTCCTGGTACTGGAGAAAAACCAAAAAAAAAAAAAAGAATGTGAAAGGCTGGTGAATAGGACCACAAGGGCACACATGCACACACACATGCATGTACACACATTCATGCACGCATGCACACATACAGACACATACAAATGGAACTGAGAAATTAGAATGCATTACCCTTTGTGCCCTGCCCCTTCCCCCCAAGAAAAGAGTATTCTGATGGAACAACCATCTTAGGATCTTTTCAATCCCCCCTTCCATCTCCAATGTAAAGGAGTGTACTGTATTCCAACAATATGAATCTTCCTCATACCTTTTAAGAAATCCCAGGCAAGGGAGGAATGGTAGAACCTCTATACCTGAAGAATTACCTGTTGACATTTTTAGGCAGAGATCACGGGCTGCCTCATCACATGGGTAGGCTTCCCCCTAACACATGGAATACTGGATACTCCACAACAAGGTGCCTCAGTAGCTACCAGGGAGAAAAAAGAGGAGAAAGTTCACAAAGGAAAGTGTCAGTATGATTTCAGCCTCCAAGACAGTTTTCTCTATGGCTCAGACATGGGCACCGTATAACAACCATTTCATTTCTATCACAAAAAGAAAATCTACAGCAGGTTATGATGTTTAAAATTTTTTTTCCCAGTGGGAATATTATGTCCAATAACACAGTCTATTTCTACTTCTATCCATAGTCACCAACAACTTCCCTCAAAACAGTCCCTTGCCTCCAGCCTCTTGTCCTTTCTGCCATTTTTACATCAGCTTGTTAGTTACAAACGAGTAACATCACTCCTATGATGAAGAAAATTTTGTTTCCTATTGCAAGTAAACTTAAACTTTAGCCAGGTGTGGTAGCACATGCCTGTAATCCCAGCACTCAGGAGGCTGAGGCAGGAGGATTGTTGACAGTTCAAGACCATCCTGGGCTACAAAGTGCACTCAAGGCCAGCCTGAACTGCATAGCAAGACCCTGTCTCCAAAAGGCAAAAAAAAAAAAGCTTTAATGTCTCTGTATGTCAGCTGCAGCTTCCTTCCAATCAGTTTCCTTCCTTATCTTATCCTGTACTACATCCTGATTGCCAGGCTATCCGTGCTCTGTGCCATGATTATATTTTCCCCCACATGTAATGCAGGCCTTACTCCTTTTTACTTTTCTGACTCCTATTGACATTTTGGTCCTAGGTTCAAATCCTAGTTTCTCTGCTTCTATTCACATTTATGTCCTTTGCTGAATGTTGGACAAGGTCATAAGGTTCCTGGCTTGGTGCAGATGCTGGAGGATGCTAAAAATTCCAAGAGCATACCCATGGTATACCTCATTTTGGTAGTTAATCAAGTAATTAGTCTGCATATCTACTTGAATTAATGCTTTGTGGATACAAAGAGAATAAGGTCTATGCCTTGGAGGAGAACACTTTGCTGCTTTGTCATGATACTGCATATTTCTTGAGGACAAGCCTTGTTTCCACAGTAAAATGCAAATTCTCAGGTTCTTCGAGGATATAGCTACAATACTTGCATCCTAGGATTTCAGACAGACTTCTTGACTTACACTGAATTAAACCTTCACTCTCCCACTCCTCTCTCCTCTGGAGCTCAGGTACCAATTAAGAATGGTAGTTGAGGTGTAACAGCTAATTTGCTCCTAAACGATCAAAGGTTACAGAAACACTGTAGTTCACTTCGGCAAAGCTATGAACTAGCTTCCCAAAAGAAAAGAAATGCCACCCCAGTGAGCTCTTCAGTAACATGGAAAAAGTTGCTGGAGGGTACTGTAGTCCATTCTCCTCACTGGCTCTTCAGAAAGGTGAAATCAAGGGCAGTGACTGAAGACGAGGTGCGCAAAGAAGTGAGGAAAGCAAAAGGAGCAGGATAGGGAGGGAAGCCGCATAACTTTCCTCCAGCACAGGAGCATTGAAGGTGGACTGGCTTCCTTCAGACACAGCCAAAGATGCACCCGGGCCAGCCGGTGAAAATCAGTTCAGACTTCGCACGTTTGTAGTGATAAAGGATGATGATGAGACTTGGGGTTCCCGATACCTGTTCCCACAGGTGACAGCAGCTGGGAAAACTGCTTTCAGTGACTCTGAGGTTACCTGCCATTCAAGTCCCAAGACCGGGGGATTGGAAGATGTGGGAAGCCCACACCTAGATTCCTCTCGACGGGGCTCCAGGATAAGTTGAAAGATGTTACTGAAAGCAGGAAAGACTGGCCGGGAGGGCGTGGAACTCTCGATGACTTCAGACATCCTTTGTATCTCCCGTCCTAAACCCAGAGAAAAGTCTTGTCCTGTAGACGACCAAGTCCAGCCATCCTCGCACCTGTCATGGTGCCCACTAACTCTGCTGTGCTCTGGGCCACAACTTCGCCCGCCGCTTCCCCCTGGCTGTGGGCGGCGGGGGGGCTCTCCCCCCAGCCCGGGCCCCTACGGGCGCCTGGGCCGTCGAGGCTCGCGCTCCTCCTCTCCGGCCTCCGCTCCCCTCCTTCTCTCCCCAGCCCAGTCCCTCCCCCAGCCTCGGCGGAGGGGGGCCGGGCTTGGCTCCGCACCGCTTGTGCATTCCAGAGAGCGGGGCCAGCCAGAGCAACAAAGGAGCCGGGCGGTCGGCGGGGAGAGCGCTTGGGGGCTGCGGCGCTCGCGCCGAGGTGGCTGCGGAGCCGCGGGCTGGCGCGGGGGCGGAGCCGAGGCCGGGGTCCCGCACCCCGGCGGGCCTCTGGCCTCCAGCGCGGGCCCGGGAGCTGGGTTTAATAGTGGGAGGGGGAATGGGGCCAGGGCTTGGGGGCCAAGGGGGCTCCCGAGGCTAAAGCCAGCTTGGATTGTCAGGCGAGGGAGTGGGGAGTTGTGCATCCCGGCCCCGGCCTCCGCCGCCCAACATGGGCCCCGGGTCCCAAAGTTTGCAAAGTTGGGAGCCGAGGGGCCGGGGCGCGCGGAGCGTCCGGGGGAAGTCGGCCCCAGACCCGCGGGGCGCAC